TACTCACCTGCCATGTAGAGTACTTTCGCGTCGTAGAACGATCCTTTTGTTCGCGCGTCTCCGGCCCAGTAGACCTGGTACACCTTGTCGTCTTCAACTACACCGCTAAAGTCCCTTACATCGTCAGAACTCACAACAGGCTGGGTCTTGTCGAGTAGAAATTCTACTAAAACATAAGTCATTGTAGAGCCCGGGCAGGATCGACAGGTTGGAGCAAGCGGGCAAACAAAACGAGTCGAGAGCGATCGTTCATGAAAGCTCGGCGAAGCCTCTATGGGCGAAGCGAAGTGGCGTGTTCGGCGGCGTTTCGGCGGGCTTCTGATCAAGGTTGTCGGTCGGCTGCGTGTCATATCTCTAACATCAGCGGTTTTATGGGCTCACGTCCCGAAATCGTTTTCTTGTGCATAGATTATTTTTCGTTTTCATAGATTTGACCAAATAGGGGTATCCGAACGAACTTGACGTCCCTTGACCGTACGTCTGTCTGCACGTCAAAGCTTTTTGACGTACAGTCAGAGACAATCGATGTACAATCAGAATCGCCACTAAGACATCTTGATGACATTTTGCGGCGGCCGACTGCCAACAGGAAACCATCAGAAAGCCGACAAGTCGAGTCTGACGGGAGTTTAACTGTCGGTCAGAGTAACTTGTTGGCCAATCAGACATGCTTGACGTACAGTCAGGCACAGTCAGCGGTACACTAGAAAACATTGACTGCCAAACAGGGTTACATTGATGGATTTTTCCTTCAGGTATTCATGCTCTTGTTCAAGAAGCTTGTAATACCTGGAGGGGCCTTGGCGTAAGCCCTGTGGATTCCACAAGCCACTACCTCGTTGTTCCCGCTAGTGCCAGTAAATTAGCTACGCTTCAGAGTAATGACGCTTGGTCTTATTGTGGCTTAAAATCATGGTTGCCAGTTACCTGAAGCTTTATCTAAAATCACAGGGAACGCTTTTCCGTCCTCCACAAAAGTTCAAGCAGTTCGCGACAAAATAAAGCAATATTGCATAAGCTTCCTAGCATCGGATCTAATGCTGAGGAAGTCGCATTTTTTAATCATGACGATCGGCAGTTGCGTTTGCTTTGGACAAGACCCAAAATGTCCAAAACAATTTTGGGGAACGAAGTGCCGGTACTTTAAGCGTAGCTCATTTAGTGGCTCTTGGCATGAAGTGAACTCGGGTGTATTCTTTTCATTTTCGTCTTTATTGGTTTTGATTTCAATCATATCGAATAATGAACACATTATATCACGCTACGCCTGTGTAATTATTTGTCTTACGTTTATTAACCTGACCCTGTACTTAAACCATTCATTTGCCGATAGTGAATCTTCCAATATATTTTCTAAATGTGAAGGTAAAAAGACACGGACATTGATGATCATACAGACGCCAACGCCGCCCTCGAAAATTTCTTGAACATGAGAAATCAGCAGTTTTGTCTGCCATCCGCCAGGTAGCGCAACAAAACACCCAAACAGTATTTAATTGTTTTTTTAATTAACTAGCTCTACACCTATCAAAAAACCCAAGCAAAATCATTGTGAAGATCTAATACATCGTAATGTATGTCTATTTTATACTCTAAATGTTATGAGATGCCAATACATCTGTTTATGTCCATAAAAGATATGTGTCAAAGACAGGTGAGTTTAAAGGCTCCTGGAGCGTTATGACTTTGAAAATAAAAAAAAAGCCATCGTCCACTTATTGGGCAATCATTATAGTTGTAAATATTATAAAAGAATTTATCATAGCTTAATTATTTCCTAAGCGGCATTTGAAGCACCGTGACTTGGAGCACAAAAAAGTGCTACGTTTGATATAAAATATCTAAACAAAAAAATTTTACACAACATTAATATTTTTATGCATATTATCAATTATAAGCACTACATCTGTAGCTAATTTCATTGGCCTAGCGCTTGTCATTAACAACATATTTGTGCTGAAAAATGACAATTTAAGGGCCATATTTGGTGAGATGAAAAAAAAACAAAGTAGTGCAAATACCAAAAAAGTATATCTTTACATTCTGCTCCGACATCCATCTTAACAAAACTGCTCTATTGGAATCGTGTTATCTTTAACGGATCGTTCATAAAATATAAACCAGCTGAGCAAGTGAGGGTCCGCGCCTTCATATTCGCAACGCTACAAATGCGCATGAACAGTATAAGCCAATACATACATAAAATCAAATGAAAGAGAATTGCATTGCCTTTCGAACGACATCAACCCCACAAAACGGTATTCAAAATAAGATGAGTAATAGGGACGCCGTGAACCACCCTATGTTCAAATTCGAAATATTTTGATATTTTCGAACCGAACTGATGTTCGAAATCGAATGGTTTCGATAATTTCGACCGTACGGAGGTTCGTATTCAAAAATTTCGAATATGTTTTTACTTGATGTTCGAGAAATTCGAATATTTCGACTTTCCTAACTTGAAAAATTGAGAGGTTCGAATGTTTTGAATTTCTTTGGATCTGAAAATCGAAAAATCAAACGTTTCAGATTCTTAGCAAAAACCCGTCGTCCTTCCTTGCTTCCTTCGGGAATCTATTTTTCTAAAATCAAGCATGCCAGATGACTGAAATAAATGGCATTTTCTTTCGCAAGGAATGCGGCACCGCATGTAAAAGTGCGAAAAAAAGAAATACGAATGTACCTCACTGCTTGAATCCAAATAAAACTGCCCGCCGGTCTTTCGAAGATGGACGAACTTCGAACTTTTACCCTAAAAGTTCGAAGTTCGTCGAACTTTTGAATTTTCAGGAATCAAAAGTTCGACAATTTTCGAATTCTTTATATTAATAAGTGCGAAAGTTCGAAAATTATCGAATTTCTTAGCGTAGAAAGTTCAAAAATTCGAAAAGCTTCGAACTTTTTAGTGCAAGAAATTCGAAATTTTGAAAATCATCACATATTTTAGTTTATCAAGGTCGAAAGTTCGACAAGCACCGAATTTCGCAGCGTAATAAGTTCGAAATTTCGAAAACTGTCGAACTTCTTAGTTTAACACGGTCGAAAATTCGACTTCCATCGAATTTTTCAAAATGGAAAGTTCGAAAATTCGAAATATTTCGAACCTTTCAAACCGCTTGAATCGATCATCGAACCTTCGGTTCGAAAGAAGTTCGCGGCATCCCTAATAAGTAATGACCTGCCAAAAAGTACCTAAACTGCCTCATTTAGTGGGACCGTGGCCTTAACACACAGCCCTGTGGCACACTCTTGTGAGGATGTGAGAGCCTGTAATTACCTCGACAGTTGATATGTAAATATATATGTTTGTCAGGTAACCTTCTACCAACCCGCTTAAGCGACCTTCGATGCCAAGTTCGTCTAGCGCATTCAGAACAACCTCGTGAGTGACGTTGTCATACGCACGACCAGCTCTATACTTGCGACCACTCCATCTGAGCACTCCCTATGGAAGAGCCTGCTCCCGGCCACGGTGTAAGATAATACTCTCCAGGTGAGGACGCCGCTCTCCTCGCGACGTGACCCGATAAAGTTCGCTCTTCACTCTCTCTCGCTATGGTTTCAAGCGGTGCCGGCAGATGACTCGTCGACCCATGGGCACGGCAAACACGGCTCGTGCCGCCTCATGCTGCACACGCGCAGAGCTCCAGCGAGGTTGTCGCTCGTGCAGAAAGACCACGGTGTACCGGGGTGTCATGGCAACGAGATAATGTTTTTCGCTCTCACACAGATTCGCCGTTTGGCCACCGGCGACACTGTCAGCCGCGGGCACGGTGGCCGCGGAATGATGCAGCCTTTCGGATGCCCGTCGAACGAACACTATATGATTCCTCGCGCCGCGCCTTCAGCCCCGCCGTGTTCTCACCTAAAGAGTGTATCTTACACCGTGCTCCCGGCTGAGGGCTGAGTTTTAGCACCGCCTAGTGAGAGGCGTTCTCACTAGGCGGCACAAAAGCTCGGTCCTCCTACCATATGATCTCTATGCTCCTACTGTTGGAACTTTCGCGAGGACGGCATCGGATTCCCTCTGCGGAGAGGATGCACGCGAAGAGCGAGCTGAACCTCGCACCACTGCTTGTCTCGGCGGAGACGATTTATGATCGCGCGCGGGCAGCGAGATGTAAACTTCGTACCCGCAGCGGCCGGATGCAGCCGCGAAGATCAACAGCTGGGAAAGTGGAGACGGACAGAACGAAAGCTGGAACGCTACGGATCGGAGAACGAGAAAGTGGCTCGTCTGTTTTGAACGTGTGTAGTGTGTGTAGTTTAAAATAAAAGTGTTGAGATTTGTTGAGACTGATCGATATCTCAGAACGCCAAGAAGCAACAATTCCCTCAACAAAATAATTGGTGCCGAAACCCGGGACAGAAACTACTGCACTGCAAATGAAGCCGACGAGCAAGGCGTGATCGAATCGCCAGCAGACAGAGAAGAGAAAGTACCGACTGAACCAGCGAAATCTGGTAATCAACGGCAACATCTAGGATAGACCGACACAAGCAAGCAGCACTGCAAGCCAGGACTGAACGGCAATTAATGGACGTCCTCAAGAAAAAACGAAAAACGCATCGAACGCAAGTAACGAGGCTCCTCAGCGAGGCAAAGGATTTATTACAATCAGCTACGGCGACCGTCGATGATCTCGGTATATTGATCGAACGTCTAAGCCTCGCTCGGGACCAACTCAACCACGTAGATGCTGCGATCGAGTCGTTGATTTCCGAAAAAGAAGCAGAAGCAGAATTCACGCAAGTGATAGATTATTCTGACAAGATCGTCACGTGCCTAGCAAAGCTCAAAAGGAAAGTGAAAAGTCCGGAGGACAGCCAACGAACAAGCGGGAAACCGAACGAAGAGCGGGAAGCAAGAAAGGTGACATCAAAAATCAAGCTTCCCAAATTAGAGCTCATCAAGTTTAACGGACACCGAAGAAATTGGCAGCCTTTCTGGGAGCAATTTCAGACCGCTATTCATGAAAATCCGGAACTATCGTCCTCAGAAAAATTCAACTACTTGAGGTCAGCCCTGACTGGTGATGGAGCAGCCGCCATCGCAGGACTGCACCCAACCGCTGAATGCTACGCCCACGCCATCGAGCTCCTGCAGCAGCGGTTCGGGAACCAGGCGGAGCTGATACAGGACCACATGACAGGGCTCATGGACATCATTCAGGTGCCGTCATCGCGCAGCGTCAGAGCCCTGCGGCGGGTCTACGACAGCGTCCAGGCTCACATCCGGGGCCTTCGGGCGTTGGGTGTGACGGATCAGTCATACTGTGCCATGCTTTACCCGGTTCTGCTTCGTGCGCTTCCGGACGACATGAGGCTTGAGTTCAACCGCAAGATGTCTTCGGGGAACGCCAAAAACACCACCGCCGGGGGAACATCAGCAACCGACATCGGCTCCGACTCAGCAACGGAACAAGGACCCGTTAAGGAGGTGCGCGTGCTGCTGAACTTTCTCAAGATCGAGGTGGAGAGCCGGGAGAAAACATCCAAGGAACAACCCGAAGACGCCGGCGGTAAGCCTGCACATTGTTTCCCCATGCATGAACATCCGAAGAGGCGCCTAAACAACGCCAAGACTCGGAACGCTACCGCTACGGCCTTGCATGGCAGGATGGACAGCATGGAATGCTTTCTTTGCAAATCAAAGGCGCACAGCACACCAGACTGTAACGCGAAGATCGAACTCAAGGAAAAGAAGCGCAGGCTGCAAGCCGATCGCAGGTGCTTCCGGTACACAAAGCCGAACCACACGGCAAGAATGTGTCGCGGCACGCTCCGTTGTGACAGGTGTGGAGGAGGGCATGTATCCACTATGTGTGATCCAGATTACTTGCCGGGACGAGCCGCCAGCGGATCGGATGAAACGCGGAAGAAAAACAAGACGCCTCTCAACCTGCATGTGAGCGAGAAGGGCAACAAACCTGCTGTCCTTCTGCAAACCGTTACCGCGTGGGTGGAAAGCAAGAACAGAAGAAAGTTGGCCCGCATTCTCTTCGACAGCGGTAGTCAGCGCTCCTTCATTACAGAGGAGCTGTCGAGGGGTCTTGGTTGCAAGCTTCTCGGAACGGAGGTTCTTACCGTCGGAGTGTTCGGTGGCAAGACTAGCGAACAAACGTACCGTAGAGTTCAAGTAGTTTTGAGTAATCGTCTAACCGGCCAGACATACGAGATAGACGCCCTCGAGACGCGTTCTATCTGCGAACAAGAACTTCCAGGCCCGGATGAAGACATCCTGGTGAATATGGAGGAGCTCGGACTAACGGTTGGTGACGACCTGAACGGACTCGAGTGCAACGGAGTAGGAATCCTCTTAGGATCGGAGCACTACTGGGGATGCGTTACGGGAAGAGTCCGTCGACTGAGCGAGAACCTGACGGCAGTGGAGACCGCCTTTGGTTGGGCAGTACATGGACGTTCCCAGGCGACTGCAGCTGTTGTCAACTGTTCCCAAGTGATCGTCCTCAGAGCTGCCGTGAGCGACCAGGAGAACACGGCTGTCCTGAGAGGATTTTGGGAGCTTGAGAGTATGGGAGTTGTGGACGCAGAGGTCCAGGATCACTCCGATAGCGACATCATGCAGCGCTTTGAGAGAAGCATCACCAAATCTGATCGAAGATACGAAGTGAGCCTCCCTTGGAAACCTGATGTAAAGCTTGATTGCAACCGAGAGATGGCTTGGAAGAGACTCGAAAGCCAACGAAAGAGGCTAAGCAAGAATCCTGAGCTCATGCAGAGATATGATCAGGCAGTCCGGCTTTACGTCGAGAACGGAATGGCTGAGAGGGTCGAGAGAGACGATAACTCGAATGAACGGGTGTACTACATGCCCCACCAGGCTGTTCTACGAGAAGGCAGCAGTACGACGAAGATGAGAATCGTTTTCGACGCGTCTTCGCACGGACCGAACTGCAAGTCACTAAACGACAACCTGGAGAGCGGTCCGAACCTGAACCCAGACCTTGTTAGCCTGCTTCTCAACTTCAGGCAACACCCGGTGGCACTGGTAGCGGACGTCGAAAAGGCCTTCCTTCAAATTGAAGTAAACCCGGAGGATCGCAATGCTCTCCGGTTCCTCTGGTACAAAGAACTTCCTCAACCGAACCAAACAACTCCGGAGGTGGAAGTCTGGCGTATGACGAGGGTCATTTTCGGAGCCACGTCCAGCCCCTTTCTGCTGGCCGCGACCCTACGACATCATTTCAGAGAAATGGAGAGCGTATTCCCCAAGACAGCAGAGCGACTGGGTAGATCGGTCTACGTTGACGACCTCTTGACGGGCGCGGAAAGTGAAGAGGACGCCCGGACATTCTGCAACGAGGCGATCGAGATATTTGGAGCAGCGGGGATGAAGCTCCATAAGTGGGGCTCCAATAGCGCAGCCCTGTCGAAAATGCTTGAAGACAAGGGTCCCGATGAGAGACCATTGGGACAACAGACGGGTGTGTTGAAAATACTCGGTTTGACGTGGAAGCCGAATGAAGACAGCCTTTCCTTTTCGGCAGAACACGTGATTGATTTTGCCCGCCAACGAAGAAACACCAAGCGTTTCGTGCTCCAGACGACAGCACGACTGTATGACCCCCTTGGTTTCCTCTCCCCCTTCGTGGTGCGAGCCAAGATCTTGTTTCAGGAAATCTGGTAGCTGAATCTGCGCTGGGACGATACACTGCCGGAAGAACTGATGAGTGGCTGGAACAACTGGTGCGACGAGCTCACCACACTTCAGCAAATTAACGTGCCCAGATTCTACGACAGCGAGCTGAAGGGCAACGTTGTACATCGAACGTTGCACGTATTCTCTGATGCCAGCACCTCCGCATACGGTTCGATGATCTTCATCTGCTCAACGGATGACACCGGAGAAATGACCGCGACACTCTTACTGGCTAAGTGCCGCGTGTCGCCCCTGAAGGAAATCTGCCTTGCTAGATTAGAGCTCATGGCATGCTTGATCGGATCGAGGCTGTTTAAGTACGTAAGGACACACCTCGAAATCAAAGTGGATGAAGTCCACTTCTGGACGGATTCTATGATCGCTCTGCATTGGATTAGGGGAGAGCCATCCAGGTGGAAGACGTTCGTGAAAAATAGAGTACAAGAAATTCAAGCAAACAACGAGAAGGCAATGTGGCACCACTGCCCGGGGAAAGAAAATCCTGCCGACCTGATGACACGAGGGCTGTCCGCGGATCGACTGCTGTCTGCACCGCTCTGGTGGAACGGACCAACTTGGTTGCTACTGCCCGCGACAGAGTGGCCTGGGGAAAGTGACGAGGAGCTTTCCCACGACGGGCTCGAGGAGAGGACTCCAAGAGCAGAGCTCTTCGAGGTAACTGCAACTGTACCGGAAGAGTTGCTGGATATCTCAAGGTTCAGCTCGGCCTTGAAACTCCACAGAACAACGGCCTGGATTTTACGGTTCATCTATAACCTCAGATCGTCAGAAAAAAGGATGGGACCACTGACCGCCGAGGAGATCCACGTAGCACAAACACACTGGATAACGAGAGCACAAAGATCAGCGTTTGCCTCCGATATTGATTGTGCAGCAAAGAGAATGTCGCCCCCACCTGGGTCGTTCTTGCGTGACTTTCGCACTTTCATCGATGAAGAGGGATTGCTGAGGATCAGCGGTCGACTCCAGTCATCGAACCTGACGCAAGAAGAACGCCACCCCATTGTACTGCCTAAGGAGCATCGATACTCAACGTTGCTGACTATCGACGCCCATCGCCAGGTACTGCACGCGGGAGCCAGGGACACTCTCGTGCAGCTGCGCGAGAAGTACTGGATCCTCCGCGGAAGACAGCTGGTAAAGAAAGTGGTGCGTGCGTGTGTGACCTGCCAGCGATTCAACGCGACTCCTGCAAGTGCTCCAACGGGACCCTTGCCGGCGGATCGTACAACGCGAGCGGACCCGTTTGAAGTAGTGGGCACAGACTTTGCGGGACCCCTGTATGTTAAGGCGAACGACCTCACCAGCAAATGTTACGTCTTGTTGTTTACATGTGCGGTTACCCGAGCGGTCCATTTAGAGTTAGTGACAGACATGTCGACGAAGAGCTTTCTGAATGCCTTTCGCAGATTTGTGTCACGGAGAGGGGTATGCCGCGTCATTTATTCGGATAACGCTTTGACATTTAAACGGGCCTCAAAAGAACTAAGGGAACTGTGGAAGACACTCCGACACCCTGATGTGATTCAGCATTTTGCCAATGCTGGCATAGAGTGGCGATTTATTGTCGAACGAGCGCCATGGTGGGGAGGTTTTTATGAGAGGCTCGTGCGCTCAGTAAAGGTGTCATTGAGGAAGGTGATCGGAAAGAAATGCCTGGGCGCAGATGAATTGGCCACGGTTCTCACCGAAATTGAAGCCGTGGTGAATTCGAGACCATTGACCTTTGTGTACAACGAGGTGGGAGAGGGCGACCCTTTCACGCCTGCGAGCTTTCTAATCGGTAGACGGCTGACGGCGCTGCCGGCGGCCGGGGGAGAGCCGCTCGCTTCGACACCGGAGACACTTCGCGGTCTGTGGCGAAAGCGAAAACGGATCCTAAATTTATTTTGGGGGACGTGGGGGGCGGAATACCTCCGAGAACTGAGGTCTGCTTATGCTAGTCACCAAAAGCAGTCCCCTCCGCCCCGAGTGGGCCAGTTGGTCCTTTTGAAAGAGCCACTTCCACGACTGCTTTGGAAGCTTGGAAAGGTTGAGAAGGTATTTCATGGACGCGATGCAAGGGTTCGTTCATGCGAGATTCGCGTACATCGCGGTACAGTACTGCGAAGGCCAGCAACTAATCTACCCCCTAGAAATGACGGAACTCTAGAATGTGCTCGCGCCCATTCGGTGGGGAGTGTGTTGGAACTTTCGCGAGGACGGCATCGGATTCCCTCTGCGGAGAGGATGCACGCGAAGAGCGAGCTGAACCTCGCACCACTGCTTGTCTCGGCGGAGACGATTTATGATCGCGCGCGGGCAGCGAGATGTAAACTTCGTACCCGCAGCGGCCGGATGCAGCCGCGAAGATCAACAGCTGGGAAAGTGGAGACGGACAGAGCGAAAGCTGGAACGCTACGGATCGGAGAACGAGAAAGTGGCTCGTCTGTTCTGAACGTGTGTAGTGTGTGTAGTTTAAAATAAAAGTGTTGAGATTTGTTGAGACTGATCGATATCTCGGAACGCCAAGAAGCAACAATTCCCTCAACACCTACCTCGTCGGTTATCCGTGGGTGCGTGCTAGCTGAATGCGCTTTCTGGTTTCAAGGGCATTCACGATGTGAAATGTTTTTCTCTATGTAAACAATACTGAAGGAGTCGAATTCGTTAATTAGTTCGCTTTTTTTTTTTTTAGTTTGCGCAGTCAACATTAGATGGTATTGGCTGCGACCGCGCACCGCCAACACCATAGAGGCCAAAAAAACCCGGGCCCGTTTCTCGAAGCGCTAACCGCGGCTATTCCCGAACTTGAACTAACTATAGGTGGCGCCACTCATTTTCCAAAATGGCGGTTATAGTGAGGGTCGGAGATGCGTGCGGCTGTTGAGCCTGTCTAGTGTGCTGGCTTCACTGAGCGACACAATTTATTTCTGCTGATACGAGGAAGCTAAGGTGTTGTAAGTGCAGGTCCCCTCTTTACCCTAAGAAAAAGAACGGTGTTAAGCGTAATATTTAGCAAGGATGCGCGTTTTAATTCTGGAGTGAAACCGAAACTAACCTCTATTTTAGATTTAATTTCTCGATATAGGTCTTAATTTCGGATTCTTTCTTAACTCAACATGTGTCTCACATCGTAATTATTTAGTTAGAGAAGTTCACGGTAACTTTATTTTGTGACATACATTTTCGATCCAGGCTGATATTTGTAGTTGAGAAAATCAGCGCCGATATTTGTCTATTCTGGCTGGTTTTCTCGCTCAGATAACTGTCATGGGAAATGATAAACTGTGGGCCTTTTAATGGGTTTTTGGGTATTTAGATGATTAATTGGGTAAAATTATTCCCGGCACAAGAATAAGAGAATTCCGATTTTTGCAATATGTCCACAAAGCGTATAAATTAATGAACGCTGTTCTTCTCACTGCAACAACCCTAACCGCTCATTCTCACTGGAAGCGGATCCGCGTTCGCAAAGCGGTTGCGAACGCGGCTGTATAAAGATCCAGTGCAATTGCACGCGCACTTGATGACATCAAGTGCGCGTGCAATTGTTCTGGATTAAGACGGAATTCGAGCCAGACGGCTGAAGTGTGTGTGTGTTTTATAGCAACGCGTGACGCATATGACTTTATGTTACATCCAGTGTTTGACTGTTTGTCTATCTTGATAACGATGTCAGAGTTTTTCATACGCTAAAAAGAAAACAAAATTACCTTTTTCAGAAGGACTATTATGTGGCGTTAATTGGAGGCATATATTGCCGCAATTTGTGTTATTATAATAATATCAAACTTCAGATATTTTAATACGAAATTTTACAAGCTCTAATATAATTTGTTGCTTATGATCCAATTTCAAACGCGTAAGTAAATATGACAATCAAAAGTGTGCTAATTATTCTCACTGGTACCAATTGCAGCATTTTGAATTACCGAGTAATTGTGTCTAAAATCAACGAAAACATTTAAGCTAATGTGAGACATCCATCTAAAATTAATTTAAATGTGGGTAAAATATATTTTGCTATCAAAGTCGCGACTGTTGACAATCGGCAAAACGTCTAAAGAAGCCGCCAATATCCTGCCAGACCAAATGCCCAAAAGTGAAAAAGAAAAAAACTGTTTTTCTTTATTACCAATTTTTTCATAACATTTAGTTACTTTCGTTTTTACGCTCCGTCGTTTTGCCAATCTCAGCCTTTCCAGTTCGAAGGAACGTATACCTGCTTGCACGTCTGCTCACTGCATGCAGTGAGCAGACGTGCAAGCACACATTTGTTTTCGATCTTTTTGCTTTAGAACAATTACTACTGCAGACGCCAGCACGTGCAACGCTTGTAACTACACTAGTAGCATGCACCTCGGTGCTTGGAAAATTTAGAGAAAGGTCTATTGGGAACCAACGACGTAGAGGGGCTTAGAGCGATAAACCGGGGTTCCGGTCTGCACTCGAAAGTGACGCCCATAAGGGCGCTGCCATTGTACGCAAATGTGACCACTCGTCACGTGACAAAACCAAATACGTGACGTCAAAGGAAAGATGGCAGCGCCCAGGCAGCGGCTGGCACCAGCTGAGCCGGAGCATTGGCCGAAGATTGTCGGATGATTTGTTCGTTGTCGTTTGTCTCGGCGAGTTGATTTCGGACGCGGAAGCCGTCATACGAGGCCGGACGAAAACGACTTCAGAGTTTAGCGTGGTGTCTCACGTAAGTACGACGTGCAAATACGAAGGAAGGGTGTGCATTTCGCTGGTGATTGACAGGGATGTTGCCACGAAAGAGACAATCGGCCCTTCGTTGCTCGATTCTCGGATTGATTCGGATATCGCCGGGATAAATTTTAAGGCGAAGTTTCT